CTGCGTCTGGTCAGGTAGCCGCGTCTGGTCAGGTGTTTGCTGCCGCGTCCCGGTCTAGTCCAACGTCTGCCCCCTGCTCGTGTCGTCCTCTGTCGCACGAGACTCTCCTTTGGCACCACCGCCTTGGTCACCCCTCCTTGCCTCGTCTTCGAGGTATGGCCTCCCGTACCCTTGTCTCGGGTCTCCCCCGGTCCCTCCCTCCCCTTCCTCCGGGGCCTGCCCCTACCTGTGTTCCTTGTGTCGAGGGCCGGCAGCGCGCCGCTCCTCACTCCTCCACGTTCCCTCCGACAGAGGCTCCCCTGCAGACTCTTCACATGGACGTGTGGGGCCCAGCCCGCGTCCGTGGATAGGGTCACGAGCGTTACTTCCTGCTGGTCGTTGACGACTACTCGCGTTACACCACAGTCTTCCCCTTGCGCAGCAAGGGTGAGGTCACTGAGGTGTTGATCGACTGGATCCGCGGTGCCCGTTGCCAGCTCAGCGAGCGTTTCGGCTCGAACCTTCCTGCTCTGCGTATGCACTCAGACAGAGGTGGTGAGTTTTCCTCCGACCTTCTGAGGGCCTTCTGTCGTGCGGAGGGCATCCGCCAGACGTTCACGCTTCCGGCCTCCCCACAGCAAAATGGGATTGCTGAGCGCCGCATTGGCATGGTCATGGACGTCGCTCGTACGTCCATGATCCATGCGGCTGCTCCCCATTTTCTGTGGCCGTTCGCGGTTCAGTACGCTGCGCATAAGATCAACCTTCAGCCTCGTGTCTCCTTGCCGGAGACCACACCTACTCTGCGGTGGACGGGGAAGGTTGGAGATGCGTCTGCGCTCCGTGTCTGGGGATCTCGAGCTTTTGTCTGCGATTCTTCAGCGGACAAGCTGTCCTCCCGTGCCATTCCCTGCGTCTTCCTTGGCTTCCCCCCTGACGCACCCGGGTGGCAGTTCTACCACCCCACCTCACGTCGTGTTCTGTCCTCTCAGGACGTCACGTTTGACGAGTCGGTGTCTTACTACCATCTCTTTCCCTACCGCACTGCCTCTCCCCCCCCCCCCCCCACTCTTCCTAGCACCAGGTACCCCTCCGGTAGACCCCCTCCCCCCTCAGGGTCCTGCCCCCTCAGGTGTGTCCTAGGTAGACCCTGCCGAGCCGGTCGAGGTAGCTGTCGACACAGGTGTTGCTAGGGGTGCTGAGCCTGCGGGTGCGGGGTCCGGGGGTGCTAAGCCTGGGGTTTCTGTGTCTGAGGGTGCGGAGCCTGGGGGTGCTGAGCCTGAGCGTGTGGAGCCTGGGGGTGCTGAGCCTGGGGGTGCTGAGTCTGGGAGTGCTGAGCCTGGGGTTGCTGAGCCTGAGCGTGTGGAGCGTGGGGGTGCTGAGCCTGGGGGTACTGCGTCTGGGGGTGCTGAGCGTGAGCGTGCTGAGTCTGGAGGTCCTCTGGGTGTCCCGTCGCGGCGGGAGCCCCTCTCTCCACAGCAGCTTCGTGACTGGTACGCTCGGCGCTGTTGCGGTGCTGCTGGTGCTGCTGGTGTTGCTGGTGCTGGAGGTGCTGCTGGAGCTGCGGGAGGTGCTGCTGGTGCTGGAGCTGCTGGAGGTGCTGCTGGTGCTGGAGCTGCTGGAGGTACTTCTGGAGCTGCTGGAGGTCCTTCTGGAGCTGCTGGAGGTGCTGGTGGAGGTACTGGTGATGTTGGAGGTCCTGCTGGTGTTGGAGCTGCTGGAGGTGCTGGAGCAGCTGGTCCTGGAGGTGCTTGTACTGGAGGTACTGGAGCTGCTGGGGCTGGTGGTGCTGCAGGGGTTGGAGCTGCAGGTACTAGAGCTGTTGCTACTGTAGGTGCTTCTGGAGCTAGAGCTGTTGGAGGTACTGGAGCAGGTGGTGCTGCGGGAGTTGTAGCTGGAGACCCTGGAGCTGAGGGTACTGGTGCAATATCTGCTGTTTCTGGAGACGCTGCGCGGCCGCGTCCGTACTATGTTCCACTCCTTCAGGAGGTTCTTGGTCTCCCGCCTTCTCCTGGTCCTCCTCCTCCTTTACTGAGTCCACCGCCTGTCCAGTCACAGTCGCAGTTACAGCCGACCTCTCCACTGCCTGGTCCTTCTCCTTACTCTGGACCGACTAGAGGTCTTACGGAGCGTCGTGAGCCTGAGTCGCGTCCTGTGTCGCCTGAGTCTCATTCTGCGTCACCTGTCCGCACTGTTCGCGCTAGTCGTCGTGTTTCGCGTCCGCGTCCTCCTCCTGTCCCTGGCACTCACTCTATGACACTGCGTCCTTCAACTGCTCCACAGCATGTCCCTCTGCCGTCTCCTCCTGCGTTCTCTCTTCCTGACGGTCCGGACCCGGAGTCTGACTCCCTTCGTGCTGCTAGTCCTACTGTCACGCGTTTTCTGGCCACTGCTGTCACTGACCCTTTGTTTGAGTCCACTGCTGCGTCTGCTCTCGTTGCTTAGCTTGTTGACTTTGCTGCAGCCTGTCGCCTAGACTACGCCACTAGTCTTGTTGCTGAGTCTGCGTCTGTGTCTGTCTGTCCTCCGTCCGTCGGGGGTGAGTGTGCTCTTGGCACGGACGTTCTTGAGGACGGACAGGAGGAGTTTGAGTGCTTTGCCGCTGCTGTACCTCATCTCGTGTCCATGCTGCTTGCCCCTGAGGGAGACCCGGATGCACCAGACATCCCGACCCCGCGCTCTTACGCAGAGGCGATAGAGGGTCCTTACTCCACTCAGTGGCACGCAGCCATGGACGCCGAGATGGCTTCCTCGAAGTCCACACGCACCTATGTCGACGAGGTTCCCCCGCCTGGGGCGAACATCGTCAGTGGCATGTGGATCTTCAGGGTGAAGCGGCCGCCGGGTTCTCCGCCTGTCTTCAAGGCGCGTTACGTTGCACGTGGCTTCAGTCAGCGACAGGGAGTTGACTTCTTCCAGACCTTCTCCCCTACCCCGAAGATGACCACTCTTCGGGTTTTGCTGCACGTAGCTGCTTAGCGTGACTACGAGCTCCACTCGCTTGAATTCAGCACAGCCTTCCTACAGGGCAGCCTGCACGAGGAGATCTGGCTGCGCCGCCCACCTGGCTTCACTGGGTCGTTTCCCGCTGGTCCCCTTCTCTGTTTCTACGCACTGACACCACTCTGCCACCGTTCTACGTTCTCGTGTACGTAGACGACCTTGTCTACTGCTGACACAGAGGCACTCGCCCACGTGAAGTCCGAGCTGCACAAGAGACACACGTGCACCGACCTGGGGGAGCTGACAAGCTATCTTGGATTGCGGATCACCCGGGACAGAGCACAGCGCACCATTACCTTGACTCAGTCACACATGGTGCAGCAGGTCCTTCAGCGCTTCGGCTTCACGTACTCCTCGCCACAGTCCACTCCTCTGCCTACCGGTCACTCGCTCTCAGCTCCACCTTCGGACGAGTCCGTAGAGCCGAGTGGCCCGTATCCAGAGCTTGTGGGCTGCCTCATGTACCTGATGACTTGCACACGACCTGACCTCGCATACCCTCTCAGCCTTTTGGCTCGCTACGTGGCTCCCGGTCGACACCGAAAGGTGCACTGGGATGCTGCGAAGAGGGTGTTGCGCTACCTGTGCAGTACGTCGGGCATGGGGCTCGTGCTTGGAGGATGGGCTCGAGTTGTCCTCACTGGTCTTGCAGACGCTTCTTGGGTTGACCACTTGACTACGCAGCAGTCGTCACAGGGTTACACCTTCAGTCTTGGCTCCGGTTCTGTCTCTTGGCGGTCTACCCGCTCGTCTTCTGTTCTCAGCTCCAGTTGTGAGGCTGAGATCTACGCTGGGGCCATGGCTGCACAGGAGTTACGCTGGCTCACCTACCTGCTGACCGACTTGGGAGAGGCGCCTCGTTCTCCTCCAGTTCTGTACGTCGACAACAAGGCCATGCTTGCCTTGTGTCAGGAGCACAGACTGGAGCAAAGAACGAAGCACATTGCTCTGCGCTACTTCCTTGCTCGAGAGCTGCAGAAGCGTGGTCAGCTTCGTCTTGCTTACGTGGCCTCTCGGGCCAACACTGCTGATGTTTTCACCAAGGCACTTCAGCCTTGTGATCATTAGCGTTTCTGTACTGTTCTAGGCCTTGTACCTACTGTGCCTCACTTGCTTACTTCTTGACTCTGCTTGTACTTTACTCTCTATACATATACCTGCATGCTTACACTTGCTAGGTTGTGTTCACTGTATTGTTTGTTCTCCTTTATATAACTCTACATGTGAACTGGCCTTGAGGCCATTTGCTTGTGCTCAGACTGCGTGGTGACTTTGTGATCCACCTTGAGCTTGCTTTGCCTTTCTTGACTGGTCTTGTGACCACTTGATCCCCCCCACTTTGCCTATGGGGGTGTGTCAAACTTATATGCTATAGTCTATCTAGGCTGTAGTGGGGGGTAGTTCATATAGGGTACAACACTTTTAGGTTTCCTACTTGTACCCACCTGCTTGCTAGTTCACTCATTCATTCGTTCACTATTCTAACAGTCATCCCCAACCCTCACCTTCTCCCACGTCACACCCTCCTGCATCCGCCACGTCCACCAACAACCCGCCCCACTTGCCACATCACACCCCCCTACCACAAGCCACGTCACCCCCCACCCACCTGACACGCCTCGCTTCGTCATGCGCCGCTCACGTGTGCCCTTTCAAACCGCCACGTCATCCCCAACCCTCACCTTCCGCCACTCACACCCTCCTGCATTCGCCACGTCCACCAACAACCCGCCCCACTTGCCACATCACACCCCCCTACCACAAGCCACGTCACCCCCCACCCACCTGACACGCCTCGCTTCGTCATGCGCCGCTCACGTGTGCCCTTTCAAACCGCCACGTCATCCCCAACCCTCACCTTCCGCCACGTCACACCCTCCTGCATGCGCCACATCCACCAACAACCCGCCCCACTTGCCACATCACACCCCCCTACCACAAGCCACGTCACCCCCCACCCACCTGACACGCCTCGCTTCGTCATGCGCTGCTCACGTGTGCCCTTTCAAACCGCCACGTCATCCCCAACCCTCACCTTCCGCCACGTCACACCCTCCTGCATCCGCCACGTCCACCAACAACCCGCCCCACTTGCCACATCACACCCCCCTACCACAAGCCACGTCACCCCCCACCCACCTGACACGCCTCGCTTCGTCATGCGCCGCTCACGTGTGCCCTTTCAAACCGCCACGTCATCCCCAACCCTCACCTTCCGCCACGTCACCCTCCCCCACCCCAAGCCACGTCACCCCCCACCCACCTAACATGCCTCGCCTCGTCATGCGCCGCTCCCTTATACCCTCCAAAACCGCCACGTCATCCCCAACCCCGCCCTGGTTGCCACGTCAACCCCAACCCGCCCCATTTGGCTCACCACATACCGGGAATGGGTTTGACTCCTGCAACACTAGCACTCGTGCCTTCTCCACGGCACTCATCGGCGGCGGGATACCTTTCATAGGCACCACTGCGGATCCCCCGGCATAACTGGCAGGTGCTCCACGACGCAGGCCGAGCTGAGCAAACATGGCGTACATCTCAGATTGTAGCGCCTGGAACTCCTCCCGTGTAACAAACTGCTCGTGCTCCGCACTTTCACCTAGGGCACCCAAGAGCGGGGGAAAAGGGCGTGAAGAATCCCCCTTCTGGCCAAGGGGATCAACGTCTTTTGCAGCAGTCCCGTGTGCCCTCACACTATCACGCTGGTGGGAAAAGGGCAGCTCAGGGAAGGGATTGGCAGAAGTGCTTGGCCCTTGCCCGCGCGAAGGACCGGCGAGGGGGGAGACGGCCCTGCCCCAGACAGGAGAAGCGTGGAGCTGCCGAAATGGGTATGTGGGTGAGGCAAGTGGGGAGTGCGTGACGTGGCCTGGTGGAGGGGATTCGGATTCCTCTCCTCTTGGTGCGCCGGGTGCCCTGGCAGCAACTTTAGACGGGCCGGAGTATGGCGTGTAGAACCTTGGGGCTCCTGTGGATAGCGGGGTAACACTCGCTCTTCCTGCCCCCTTCATTAGCTGCATCCGTTGCACGCTTACCGGTGGCCCAATGCCTGTAACACGAGGGGCTGAGATTTATAGGGAGCAGGAGCACAAAATTAGAGTCGATTAGTTTCAATACAGGGGCACAAATGCTTGCGTACGATCAGCGTTTTGAATCTAAATCGGGTTAAAACGGTTACTGTTTTGTAACAAGAGGCCTTACCTTGCTTTGCAGATTCATCGACCATCTCCTTCCCTGCAGGGGAGAAACAATGTGAAGAAATGTGTTAATTGGCACGGTTGAGCAGAGAGTTCAGCAGCCACGCCATGTGTATGGGCCACAGTGCTTACCATTCAGCTGTCCCTTCGGTTTTCTTACTGCCTGCGCCTTCTCGCTGCCACCTTTCCGCGGGGTGCTTTGGCGGCCGCTGCGACGTTTACCGGCTGGTTCTTTCTTGCCGGAACCCACTGGAACCCCTTTGGCGCAACCGCCCTTTCCTTCACCATCCCCTTTTGATCACTGGCTCCCTTGCTTCTTACCAACTCCTTCGCTTTCGACCTTCACTTTACGCGTCTTCTGTTTGCCCGCTGCTTCGCCACGCGGGGCGTCACCCGCCCCGCGTTTTCGGGAATGGCGAGTCCGGCCCCCCACCTTCCCTGTACCACTTCCCCGTCTGCCTCGCCCGCCCCGTCCTTTCACTGCCGCCACATCCTCCTCCTCCTCCTCCTCCTCCTCCTCTTCCTCCTCCTCCTCCTCCTCCTCCTCCTCCTCCTCCTCCTCCTCCTCCTCATCCCTCTCCTCCTCCTCCTCCTCCTCCTCCGCCTCCTTGTCATCCTCGTCGCCCCCCTCCTCGTCCTCCTCCTCCTCCTCCTCTTCGTCCTCCTTGTCATCATTCTCATCCTTTTCTTCCTCCCCAACCTCCGCGTCGTCCTCCTCCGCATCCTCTTCATCCTCCTCTTCCTCCGCATCCTCCTCCTCATCAGCCTCCTCCTCCTCATCCCCCGCATCCCCCTCATCTTTCTTGCCCCTCCTTCCGCCGGATGTTCTCCTCGCTGCGGGTCGGCCCTGCTTGCGCAATGCATGACCCGTCGCCTTGCCACTTGCTTCCCTGGCGCCTCGCGTTTTCCCAACTTCTGCACCACCGGCGTCGTCAGCACCGCGGCTTGTCTGCCGCCTCTTTGACCGCGTATTGATGTCTCCGGGCACGGCGGTGTCATACTCTTCTTCCCCATCGCTCTTCCTCTGCCTACGCCTCCCACGTCCACCAGAAGGAGGAGAGCCACCTACGTCGGAGATGCTGTGTTCCCCCGCCTTGGCCTTATCCACCACGGCAGCAGAAACTTCGACCACGGTCGGCTGGAGCAGCGTCAGTCCGTGTTGGGATGCCTCCGCCTCGGACTCCTGGGTTGCGCCATGCTCGGCGCAGGGAGAGTCGCCGTGGTTTCCCCCTGTCGCCGACTCCTCTCTCTCCGCCGACGGGACTGCAAGACTCACGCTCCCTGTGGCAGTAGTAGCAGTCTTCTCCTTCTCTTCCGCCTTCTTGCCGGACTTCTCCTGTCCAAACGCGGCCTTTTTTCCCGCCAATTTTTTCAGCCCTCTGCCACGCGCGGAAGACGCATTAGTACCTTTAGAGTCGCCACCACCCTCCCTATCGGTCTGTTGAGACAGCCTCCTTGTCGCGCGACTTCCGGCCTGTTCCTCCTCCTTTTCTTTTTGCCGTGTTGCACGTGTCATGGTTGTTTTACGAATGTGAATTTCTACAAGGCATAACGGTGGAGCCGGTTTCGAAGGGGAACCGCAAATGAATGTAATGAAGGGAGAGTCGACAGTCTATTCTGTCATCTCTCTCCGAAAAACTCCGCTTCAATCAATACTGAAATAGTAGTCAGCTGGAGGTCCGGCCCATGACTTAGTCGACTGGTGAGTCACGGGCGATCTAGAAATGCCTGTGTCAAACATCGAGCAGCGTCAAAGTTGTGGGCCAGAGGGTGACGGAAGCAGGTGGGTGGGGCACGAGGGTGGTTGGGGTGGCTTGCGCGACTAGAGAGATTACTGTAATCAGATCAGGCTAGATCGGACGGTGTACGTGTAGCCACCCGATCATAAACCCACCCACCGCTCGATCACAGCCGCTCAATGGCGGAAGTACCGCTTGGCGGGTGCTTGTGTTGTGGGAGGGGTCGTTTGAGATGCGTCTGTCAAACTTATATGCTATAGTCTGTTTAGGCTGTAGTGGGGTAGTTCTTATAGGGTACAACACTTTTAGGTTTCCTACTTGTACCCATCTGCTTTCTAGTTCAGTCATTCATTCGTTCCATATTATAACATGGTATTCTGAGCAGGTTCCCTCGTGGGAACGTTTTTTTTTTAGGGCCCACCACTAGAATTTTATTTTCCTGCCCTGCCCGAATTGCGCCTCGCGCCCTTGCCCGTCGCTGGCCCATCGCCACGCGTCGCGGCCCTGCCTTAGCCGACCATTGCGGCCCCGCGCTCGCCCGTCGCTGGCCCGTCCCGGCCTGTCCCGGCCCGTCTCGGCCCGACCCGGCCCGTCCCGTCCCGGCCCGTCGCTCGGCCCGTCCCGGCCCGTCGCCGGCCCGTACCGGCCTGTCCCGGCCCGTCTCGGCCCCACCCGGCCCGTCACTGGCCCGTCGCTGGCCCGTCCCGGCCCCTTTGCCGCCCGTCGCGGCCCGATCGCCGCCAGTCGCGGCCTCTGCCCTGCAGCCGCCAGTTGCGGCCTCTGCCCTGCAGCCGCCCGTCATCGGCCCATACGCCGCCCGTCGCGGCCCTGCCCTGCAGCCGCCCCCTGTCGCGGCCCTGCCTAGCTGCCGCCGCAGTCGCGGCCCTGCCTTCGCCGCCAGTTGCGGCCTCTGCTCTGCAGCCGCCCTATCGCGGCCCTACTTTACTGCCGCCCCGGTCGCGGCCCTGCCCTGCTGCCGCCACTGTCGCGGCCCTGTCTTCGCCGCCCGTCGCGGCCTCTGCCCTACTGCCGCCCCTGTCGCGGCCCTTGCCCTGCTGTCGCCTCGGTTGCGGCCCTGACCTAAACAGCCAACCGCGGCCCTGCCCTGCACCCGCCCCTGGTAAGCACCTGCGCTGCCCTGCCGTGCCGCGCCGCCTGCTGCCGCGCCGCGCCGCCTGGAACCGAGCCGCGCCGCCCAGCCAAGCCGCGCCGCCCAGCCGAGCCGCGCCGCCCCACCGCGCGGCCCCTTTCTTTGAGGGGTGTTCCCCTGTTCCCCTTCTCCCCTCTGTTGCTTCTGCTGCTGCTGTCGACCTCGTTGGCACTGAGGAGGTCGGGGCTGCGTCTGCCCCTAGTGGGAGGCGCCGCAACAGCAAGGGCAAGGGGAGCAAGGGTGGTGGAGGGGACGGCGGGGGCGGCGGTGGAGGCGGTGGAGGAGAGGGAGGGGGTGGCGGTGGAGGTGGGGGTGGTGCCGAGAGTGGGGGCTTCAGTGGCGGCGGTGGAGGTGGTGGAGGCAGCGGTGGAGGTGGTGGAGGCAGCGGCGGAGGTGGTGGAGGCAGCGGCAGCGGTGGTGGAGGCAGCGGCAGCGGTGGTGGAGGTGGCGGCGGCGGTGGTGCTGGTCGAGGTGCAGCCGCGCAGCGTGGAGGCTTTGGTGGTAGCCAGCGCCAGCAGCAGCCGCGTTCCCGTGAGACCCCGTCGGCCCAGCAGCTTCGTGAGTGGTACGCTGGGCGTGGGAGGTCTGGGGGTGCTGGTCCCTGCACTTACGTTCTTTGCACCGGCAGTCGTCGTGGGGAGACGTGCGGGCTGCCACACACTGCGCAGCGCTGCTTTGGTCGCTTGACTGACGCCTGGCGCGCCCAGTTTCCTGACGCTGTTGAGCTCCCTCGCTGGCATGATATGCTTAGGCAGAATGTGGCAATCTTTGATCTTGATTTCGATGCTATCCTTGCTGCCATGTATGCTTTGACTGATAGTGCTGAGGGTGACTGTTACCTGAGTGTCCCGCCCGACCCGGGCATTGAGGCTGCTGCTCTAGGTGCTAGTGCGTCTGCTGCTCCAGGTACTGGTGAGTCTGCTGCTCCAGGTGCTGGTGAGTCTGCTCTCTCTGGTACTGCACCTACTGAGGCCTTGCACACTTTCACACTTGACTCTGGTGCTTCGCGCTCATTCTTTAGAGACAGCACCACGCTCACGCCGCTCAGTCGGCCTGTCGCAGTCTCCCTGGCTGACCCCTCTGGGGGCCCAGTCCTTGCGCACTCTTCCACGGTTCTACCGTGTCGTGCGGCCCCGTCGGGCTTGCTGTCGGGACTCCACCTCCTCTCGTTCTCTACGAACCTGGTGAGTGGAGCTGACCTCCAGGACGCGTGGGTTGACTAGTTCGCCCCTGGAGGTCAGCGTGTGACCCACTGCACTTGCTCTCGGACGGGCCGCCACCTGGCCACGTTCACCCGTCGCCCAGGGTCGAGTCTGTACACATTGACTACTGCGTCTCCTCCGGTCTCTGCGTCTGGTCATGTAGCTGCGTCTAGTCAGGTGTTTGCTGCCGAGTCCAGGTCTAGTCCTGCGTCTGCCCCCTGCTCGTGTCGTCCTCTCTCGCACGAGACTCTCCTCTGGCACCACCGCCTTGGTCACCCCTCCCTGCCTCGTCTTCAAGGTATGGCCTCTTGTACCCTTGTCTCGGGTGTTCTCCGGTCCCTCCCTCCCCTTCCTCCGGGGCCTGCCCCTACCTGTGTTCCTGGTGTCAAGGGCCGGCAGCGCGCCGCTCCTCACTCCTCCATGTTCCCTCCGACAGAGGCTCCTCTGCAGACTCTTCACATGGACGTGTGGGGCCCAGCCCGCGTCCGTAGACAGGGTCACGAGCGTTACTTCCTGCTGGTCGTTGACGACTACTCGCGTTACACCACAGTCTTCCCCTTGCGCAGCAAGGGTGAGGTCCCTGAGGTGTTGATCGACTGGATCCGCAGTGCTCGTCGCCAGCTCAGCGAGAGTTTCGGCTCGGACCTTCCTGTTCTGCGTCTGCACTCACACAGAGGTGGTGAGTTTTCCTCCGACCTCCTGAGGGCCTTCTGTCGTGCGGAGGGCATCCGCCAGACGTTCACGCTTCCGGCCTCCCCACAGCAAAATGGGATTGCTGAGCGCCGCATTGGCATGGTCATGGACGTCGCTCGTACGTCCATGATCCATGCGGCTGCTCCCCATTTTCTGTGGCCGTTTGCAGTTCAGTACGCTGCGCATCAGATCAACCTTCAGCCTCGTGTCTCCTTGCCAGAGACCACACCCACTCTGAGGTGGACGGGGAAGGTTGGCGATGCGTCAGAAGAGACACACGTGCACAGACATGGGTGAGCTGACAAGCTATCTTGGCTTGCGGATCACCTGGGACAGAGCACAGCGCACCATTACCTTGACTTAGTCACACATGGTGCAGCAGGTCCTTCAGCGCTTCGGCTTCACGTACTCCTCGCCACAGTCCACTCCTCTGCCTACCGGTCACTCGCTCTCAGCTCCACCTTCGGACGAGTCCGTAGAGCCGAGTGGCCCGTATCCAGAGCTTGTGGGCTGCCTCATGTACCTGATGACTTGCACACGACCTGACCTCGCATACCCTCTCAGCCTTCTGGCTTGCTACGTGGCTCCTGGCAGGCACCAAAAGGTGCATTGGGATGCTGCGAAGAGGGTGTTGCGCTACTTGTGCAGTACATCGGGCATGGGGCTCGTGCTTGGAGGACGGGCTCGAGTTGTCCTCACTGGTCACGCTGACGCCTCCTGGGTTGACGACTTGGCTACGCAGCGGTCGTCACAGGGTTACACCTTCAGTCTTGGCTCCGGTTCTGTCTCTTGGCGGTCTACCCGCTCTTCTTCTGTTCTCAGCTCCAGTTGTGAGGCTGAGATCTACGCTGGGGCCATGGCTGCACAGGAGCTACGCTGGCTCACCTACCTGCTGACCGACTTGGGAGAGGCGCCTCGTTCTCCTCCAGTTCTGTATGTCGACAACAAGGCCATGCTTGCCTTGTGTCAGGAGCACAGACTGGAGCACAGAACGAAGCACATTGCTCTGCGCTACTTCCTTGCTCGAGAGTTGCAGCAGCGTGGCCAGCTTCGTCTTGCTTATGTGGCCTCTCAGGCCAACACTGCTGATGTTTTCACCAAGGCACTTCAGCCTTGTGATAATCAGCGTTTCTGTACTGTGTTAGGTCTTGTCCCTACTGTGCCTCACATGCTTACTTCTTGACTCTGCTTGTATTGTCCTCTATATACATATACCTGCATGCTTACCCTTGCTAGGTTGTGTTCACTGTATTGTTTGCTCTCCTTTATATAACTCTGCATGTGAACTGGCCTTGTGGCCATTTGCTTGTGCTCTGACTGCGTGGTGACTTTGTGATCCACCCTGAGCTTGCTTTGCCTTTCGTTGTGATCCCCCACTTTGCCTATGGGGGTGTGTCAAACTTATATGCTATAGTCTGTTTAGTCTGTAGTGGGGTAGTTCTTATAGGGTACAACACTTTTAGGTTTCCTACTTGTACCCATCTGCTTTCTAGTTCAGTCATTCATTCGTTCCATATTATAATAGCGTCGGCCAATCAGTGTCGTCAACGCACAAATGAATTGTCATGGTGGAACTGTTTTTGAACCAATTGAGCGAAAGCAACCTAAATCCTGCAAAGTACAGTGATGTCGCGAACAAACAATGTTGCACATACGAGCTAAATAACATTTAAAACTACAACAAATACAATCAAAAAAAAAATGGTTGCTAATGTAATAGTCTGGGGTTGTG